GGCAGCAGTAAAACATGATGGAGTACTGCACCACCACACACATATCAACATCCTCTCCAATCCCCCCTCCTCCCTCCCTGCTCTTAGACTGCAAGAAACTGCAGCTCCAGCTCCCCCGAAAAACACACGGACACACTCTGAGTGATTGCCATTAAACAAATGGAGCTGAAGGCGAGAGACAAAAAGTGACAATGTCAACAAATACTGTATTACATAACTGTGTTTGGCACATCTGTGAGCTGTCACATGATGTGCGACATCAACAGCTGAGGCTCCGTGAAACAAAGCATCAGACCCAAAAAGGTGTGAACAGAAGATAAAATTAAATCAGGCGCTTCTTAAAGCTGCAGTGGGAAAGATTTGTGGCCTCAATAGATAATAAAAAAGAAGCTGCATTAGAGCAAAATATCCCATCCCCCTATGTGAAACCAGTGGTGGATGAAGTGTTCAGATAAAATGACACTGTCAAAGCACTGCAAATTCATACAAACCAAAGTCCTGCATTCAAGTCCTTGTGCCAACGATAGGCTAGAAGACTTTTTTTTAGGAATATTCTGCCTTTTTTTTTCTCCCGTTTTTTGGTGGGACCTTGAACCCAACACCATCTCCGACAAGGAAACAGAAAGCCCGACGTGCAATGAATGGAGACCTATTGTCCTGCTTGAACACACAACTAAATTCTTTCAACAATGTGACTCAAAATAATGATAAAACAGATTTTATTGATGACACATGACACAGAAGCACAAGAAAAATGGTGTCATTTGTCTCCAGCATTTCTGTCAAAACTGCATCAGTTTAATCTATAAAGATGAACTGTATTTGCATACAAACTTCCCGTTTTACGATTTTATTGCCTCAACTTTTAACCAGTCTCTGTCGGTTAGCTGTTTTAGTAGGAGGAGACAGTGGAAACGAGAAGCAACCTGCTTAAAAAATAAGATTTCTCAATAAAATAAGTGCTGGTTGGTGGATCTGATACACAGAGAATTAAACACAGCCTCTTCTACACTTCAACATGTCATCAGTTTCTCCTCCTTTTCCACAGAAGAAGAGAACCGAGACTTATTCACGTTCTTGTGTGAAACTGGCCCCCTTTGGTCCATTATCATTATTATTATTATTATTATTATTATTTCTCCGTACGGAACTTTTTGTTTGTTTCCGCCGGAAGCCGCGTTGATTGGGGAATGTTTAAGTGGCGCAACTGTGTGCTGGCAGTCGGAGGCTTCAATTCATGGACTAGCACGCATGCATGCACTCTGATAGAGGGATTTAAACGCTGCCAAGTTTAACTAGCACCCTTGGTTGGCAGAGTGAGGTATGTTTGTGTTTGTTTGTTTTGTCGTTTTGTTGTTTAAACTGTACAAGCACTGGTTAAACTGTCGCTCATGCATATGTTTTAGGGCTGGGTATCGATTCAGATTTTCCAGATCGATTCGATTTTCAAGGACTCAGTTCAATCCGATTCACGATTCGATTCGATTCAATTCAGTTCAAAATCTATTCAGTCAAGTATATTTCAATTATGATACAGAATTTGCTTGAATATTAAGATATTTTCTGAGAACTAACGAAGTATATTTAACAAGGAACCCTGTGACCTGGTGCATTACTATTAAAATACTGTTTACATTAAGAATTGACCCCAAAGCAGTACATTAGGCATCATGTACTTTTATTTAACATTACCTGACACATACAAAATAAATATTTTAAATTAAATCTAATCACAAGGCAGACAATTTAAATGAAGTGGCTACAAAAAATGTAAACAAAGGACATCCACAAGTTTGCTGCCTGTAACCATCTTATAAAGCTTTTGTGCAATACACTACAGTGGTTGTGATGCACACATTGACTGTATCAGAAGAGAAACAATATACGTAGGTGAACCCTGCAGCAAAGTGAACCCTCTGCCTCAGAGAGGATCTTTGCCTCCCAGTTTGTTCCTGGCGGCAGAGCAGAGTGAACCATGTCCCATGAGAGTAGGCACGCTGCTCTCCGTGTCCGCAGTGTAAACAACGTTCGCTGGCGATTTGACAGTCACTAGAAGCACATTATGACCCTTTGTAAAAGTTTCTGTGTGGTACCTGTGTTGTACATGAGCTAACGTTAGTGGCTAAGGAAGGACTGAGAGGCTGTCCGGTGTGTGTGTGTGTGTGTGTGTGTGTGTGTGTGTGTGTCTGAGGAGCGTCAGTACGCTAGCTTGTTAGCCGTAATGTTAGCCTTGCTGTTTGTCATGTTAACGTTATAGTCGGCAGCCCTGAATAGCTTGTAAAGCTTTAGCAAAGTTAGTTAACACATTTGTTATCGGCCCATGTGTTTACTGCTACAGAGAATTAATAAATCTTTGGTTTATTTGCACAACATCACCTCTCTGCCGTCTTTTATCACGCTTGCTAACACTAAGTTAACTTTACCAGCAGATATGTATGAGAAACAAACTGAGGCTACAGTTAGCAGTGTGCTGATGCTTAGTGGTATTTCTTAATCTTTTCTGTGAAACTAATGTGCATTTAATAAACATTCGTACATTATTAGCGTTATATTTTTAGGGGAAAATGCGAGTGAAAATACTCGCACAGTAGACCCATGCCTTCAGTGGACGCGCTCCCACCATTGTTTGCTGCTCTGTCTTCATTCAGTGTCCAGCCGCCTCACGAGATCTCTCGCCATGACCTCAGGTGCTAAATGCTGATCTCGCGAGACTACCTGGGTTGATAGGACTGCAGGCTGCTGCAGTATGCTACCGGCTGTACAACACGTCCATGGAGGAAAACAGTTATAGTAAAAGATCGATTTTTTAATTAATGAATCGATATTGTGCCATTTAAAGGAAAATCGATTCGAATCGATTAAATCGATTTTTTCAACCCAGCTCTAATATGTTTGTATTTAAGAAGATTGTATGGAGTGTTTTAATCATGGTTAATGGTCAGTTTCTATAGAAAAATATATTTAAATCGTATGAATTTGTATAGTGGGAAACAGAGTAATATAAACGGAAACGAGTGTTTTTGATGGACTGTAATGGAATGTATTATTTGCTTGTTTTAGTTTCACAGTGCCGAATAAATAAAAGGACGTTTGCACCCGTCGAGATTCGTCTGCTTGTTCGTTTGGGCCGGGGCCGCTAAGTTGTGCCTCCTCGGAGTCCCTCCATGTTCACTCGCTACCCAATTTGCTGCTTCTTATTTGGTGATGGAGAGAGCGCAGCTGTGGGTTGTCAACAATGTTCACATCATTGAATTTTAGTATTTGATTGAGCCAAGACTAAAAACCTACGATAATATTCAACATGTTTGATTCTGTCAGAACAGTCAAAATCACCAAATGAAACATTGGTCCATGTGGATTCCTTTGGTATGAAGCTTTACAGACTTGCTGGGCTGATACATATTAACATGCTGTGTGCTGTTGTCCACAGTTTCCTCTTTTTGACATTTACAACCACCAAAATGCAAAGTGGCAAAGTGCAGCTTCAACCAAGTTATCACAGAACAGAGCCCTTATTCAAATGAGAACACTGAGACCGAAAATATTCAAAATGTTACCTTCAAGCTTCATATAATCCATTAAATTTTGAATAAATGTGAAACATATTCCATCTTTAAATTAATTTCCAGACCTTTAAATCCACTAACTTTAACAAGTTGACCGATTTGTCTGGGATTGAGACATGAGACAACGGTTTCTCGGTTAAAATAAAAAATGACCAATGAGCGCTGCGGAGGGACCAACAATTAGCCACATGTTGGGCTAACAACATTGTCAGGCTAGCATCAAGCTGTTGTCAAGTGATGCGCCAGAACCAGTGAGAAGTAATAACAACAGTGGTGAGCAAGACAGACAAGACAGACACTGCTACTGAGGCTGCTCTAAATCAACATGTCTTCCCAATACTGCTCAACATCGTAGTTTGTTTGACTTCACAGGTACATTGACAAGGCTACACATCAGTGTGGAATTAAAATGTTGTCAGATTTAGGAGGATACGTTGGTCTCTAATCCATTCCTCCAGGGATTGCTGCGGCCTGAAATGGCTGATTTCAAAATTGCGATGCACCTTGCAATATTTTTAGGCTTTTTTTTTTTTTCAAGTGAAAATTGAAAAAGTGGTTGCAATGCTGTCTTGGCGGGGCTGTTTGAAGCAGTGCTTAAACACCGTCTCTGTGAGCAGCTTTCTCTGCCCAATTAGCAGGAGCTAACACAGCAACAGAGGCTAACATCAAACACCAAAATGGCTTGGGTAACGTTGGGTAACATTAGCTGTGAGATGCTAACAGCCTGTCACTGTGTTTGTGACTCTGTCTCAGGCACAACAGTAATCTCAAGATCAACTGAAAGGGAAAGCAAGGCAAGGAGGGGTGAGTGAATCAATACGCTGCATGCAACTTAACAATAAAATTAGATTTTACCAATTTTAAAAAGTCAGATTTGCAGTAAAGTTGCTGTGACTGAACAAAATTGCAATGAATGGGGATTGGCTGAATTTGCGTTAATTGTTGCGATCGCAACATCCTGGAAGGACTGACTAGTGACTGCCAAAAGAAAATGGACACCCCCAACCCCCACAAAAATTGTTGGGAGTGGACACAATGCCAGACTGATGATGTAAACGGAGTGAAGCAAGTTCACAAATCTGTCTGATGTCAGGCAAGCGTTTTGCATCATCAGGCAGATTTTTGGCTGGTGGACGGGCAAGGAGCTCCGGTAGCTGGCAGCTGCACAACACCTCACACCCCAGTGACACAGATCTGGTTTAAAATTGGCAAAGTGTCCATTTAAGAATTGATTAGTGATAGGCTGATATGGCTGAATAGCTGTAGCTTCTCTTGCTGCTAAATCCAGTCCTCATATAAAACATTCTGTGCCAGCATCGAAATCCTAAAATGCAGCTGTTCATGAGTAAACACAGTGACGCCCAGGTCTTCTGACAGACTATGTGATCGTTTTTACATGATTTCATTCAAACTTTGTCTTGCGGTAACCCTTACCTGACTCGCAGACGATGGACCCCGGCTTCAGTTCCAGCATCATGGTGATGGTGGCGATGTCGGTGGTGTAGAGGATCTGTGTGCGGTGCGGCAGGGTGACCGTCCATAGCTCAGATGTGGGGTGAAGCACGTAAACCCACCCGCCTTTGCTGCAAGTGACCTTCGACCCGTAACGCTGACCGATCAGGTCTGTGGAGTGGCGAATGACTCCGTAACGAGTCTGTGTTTGGGCGCCTTGCTGCACCTTGACTGGCACCATGGATTCATGGTTCAGGTAGACGATGGCGACGTCTCCGTCCTGAATGAGGTCTGAGTACTCCACAAAACTCATGGTGGGCACTGTCGTCTGCAACAGGGAGGAAGGAGATGAACTTTTAACTCAAGAGTCAACATAGAAAACTTCTTACAAACAAACAGTACACTTAAAATGCTAATCAACAATATTCTATAGATCCCAGGTCCTTTTCAACAAATTAATCAACAACAATTCTGACAAGTGATTTAACATTAATCATGCCCAATCTCTTTCTGGTTCCAGTTCCCCCAGTACAATATTACTTTTCTCTGTTTTATATCATTGTAGACTTAATATATTTAGGTTTTGGACGGTCAGTTGGAGAAAAAAAACACATTTAAAGACATCATTTTGGTAAAGCAATTGGCAGATTGGTCAAAAATGAGACTTCCAATTTGTAAGTACAACTGGGGAAACTCGAATTTTAACTGTATAAAAATGTTTTGAGACAGTTTTGCTGTTAGAAAGACATATCGGATGAGTACACAACTATATGACTAAGTTAATACTGCAGCACACTCTGGCTCCACGTGCATTTCTTTTATTTTGATGAAGATGTTTCAGCCTTTGGGCCTTCTTCAAGACCAACAACCATACTGAGACACAGGTGCACTGATCTGTTAAATAGGCCACACCTTTGTCACTCAGCTGACAGTGGTCAGATAATCATGCCACACCATAAGGTTGAGCAAAGACAATTTAGAGGCCGTTGTCAGGAGCTACAGCCAAAACAAATGACAACAGCCACTATGTATTCTACCACATTTCAGTTTAACATGCATTTTTTTTTGGTTCACCATATTCAAAAAAGGTTAAAATACAGAAGCGGATAGCAAAAGTTACATCACAGAAAACATTTTGAATCATAGTTTATATTCAATCCATGGGGTGACAATAGTGCGGACCTTCTCCATCCCAACATATCTTAAAAGGATATAAGATGATTAAGTTAAACAAAATGTGATGCTACCAGATAATGAATGTTTTTACATCTAATAGTACTTCTGTGTTCAGCAATTCAAGTTTTCAGTGCTCTTTCCAACATATGACTTACTAACAGATTCAGTGGAACATGAGATTATTCCTTGTATATGGATTTACAACCAGAGTGTGCAACATTTGTTTTCTATAATCAAGTCTACTGACAGTGATCAGCACCTCGTTATTCTTGATGTGTGTTACTTTTAATATTGTCACCATTGTCCCAATTAATAGTTCTGTATTTACAATTTTATTTAATTAAAGGCACAGAGATATTAGTAGAAACATTTACTTAAAGCATCACAAGTGTTTCAAGTGTTACATTATTAGTTATATTTTATATGTTTTGATTATTACTACTGATGCTTTCACATCTAAGTGCTATTTTACTGGTGTCTATCAAGGTGGTGCTGATTTTAAATAATTTACAGCAAACATTTTTATATTTAATTTCTTTATCTGAAATGTAACTTTTAACTTTGGCTGCCAAATAAATGTAGTCGACCAGATTAAAAAGTATAACATTTACTTCTGAAAGGCAGTGAAGTAGAAGTACACAGCAGCATCAAATGATAGTGTTTTAAAACCGTACTTAAACACAGTACTTAAATGTAGCCTTGTGACTTAATTGCTTTCCAGCATTGCTTGTGAACTATTACAAGAGCTATAAACATAAATGGGGAAACTTGAACGCAACTTGAGTTCCACTGAACATTACTGATGGCATTTAAAAATATTGTCCTAAAATAATTTTCCTTTAATTTTATTATTATTTCATTTTTGTTCATTTTAATTAGCTAAATTTTATTAATTTTAATTTTGTTTTTTATTGTATTTATTTATTTTAACAAAATTGCAATTTACTGCACAAAAAGAATGAATTCCCAAGTGTCACCATTTATTGTCATCATTTTCCTGGTAACTTTCACACAAGCTGGACCCAATCAGCAGTTTATGACATCACAGTTCAGGGATGCTGACAGCAGCAGGGCCCTGGTTTCCATGGTAACTGATCTCCTGTCATCTCTGGCCTTTTTAGAAAAACATCACGAGCACAAAACGTTACTATTTTTAAGAAACAGCCTATTTTAAACTGAAGAATAACAGTCGTTTGATTTAAAGGATAACTGATATTTCACAGTTTGCTTTGCTGCTTCAAGACAGACTGAATGAGGAAAACATGTCGGACAACATAGAACATATGTGAGTGACATGATTTAATTAATAATGTTTAATTTCTGATGATTTAGAGGAAGAAATAGGGTTTAAGTTGAAGCCTGTTCCTCCTGTACACAGTGTTTCCCGTGTTGTTGCCCTCTGTTATTGAGGTTAACGTTAGTTTAGAGCTTAAATTAGCTTTAGGTTAATTAGCTAACTAGTTAGTTGAGAATAGGGATCAAGTTATCCTTTGTTTATCTAAGGGGAAACACAAGTCTATGGAGAAACAGAAACATAACACCTCTAGTAACATTAGCTTTTTTTTAGTAACGTTGTCTAAGCTGACGTTAGCTTAGTTAGCAATAACGCTATCCTTAAAGTTAAGCTAGCGGTTATCGAAGACTGATAGCGTTAACGATAAGTTACTGGGTTACACTTTTAGTTTAGAGAGTTTAACTTTATTGACTCCATTTTAAAAATGATCAACACTATTCCTACCCTCAAACATACAGAGAAGTCACAGTGCAAAGAGTCTGTTGGCACAACTTGCTAACGCGTCACTAAATGATGTGTTTGACAGTTAAACGTTGGTTTCACTTGCTAGCTAGCTAGCATGCTAACGCTAGCTGCAGTAACCGTTAACTCTGCTCAGCGAGTCAAATAACCGTTGGCGGACTGTCGACCTACCGTCTACAGGAGTGTCGATCTCTGGGGTTTCAAACGAACACAAACGCTGGTCAGTAAACGGTAAGTTGTGTCCTTGTAGCCGTTAAATGTTCCTGTGGACAGCGCTGACAGCTAACTCCTCATTCATTCCCTGCACACACGTGGTGTTGTTTTCAGAGGAAGTCGAGGAGACACGACCGGATGTTGAAATGGATCACGGATAACTAAAGTCCCTCCGCCGACACGGTGGCGTGAATGAGGCGGTACAGATGATATGTAAATCTGCTTTCACCTCCAAATGTTTGTAGTAACGTAGGAAACGTCCCCAAAATGTAGTAAAGTTATTTTATCAGTGGTTCCTCTGGAAACCTTTATTACACCATGTTTAAACTGTAAAATATAAGGAAAAATAACCAAATATTAACAGTGTTGGAATAAAATTTTCTCCCACCTGTAAAAATAGGGTGCTCCATTACAATTAAAAGTACTGTATTTACAATTTTATTCAAGTAAAATCACAGAAATATTAGTAGAAACATTTACTTAAAGTATTAAAAGTGTCTAAAGTGTGACATTATTAGTTATATATGATAGTTCTGGAGTATTACTACTGATGCTGTCATGTGTAAGTTGCATTTTGCTGTTGTTGGTCAAGGTGGTGCTAATCTTAAATGATCTATAACAAACATTTTTACATTCTTACATGTACATTTTTGATTTTAAATATAACTTGTAACTTTGGCTGCCAAATAAATGCAGTAGGCTAGATTAAAAAGTATAATATTTACCTCTGACAGGAAGTAGACGTAAACAGCAGCATAAAATGATAGTACCTTAAAAGTGTACAGTCCTTAAATGTCAGTGTAAATGTACGTTGTATAACTTTATAACCTTCCACCACTGCCAGTGAATTAATATCACAAGAGCTATTGCACCTGATCAAATTTAGTTGGATAAATTGTTATAAAAATGTACATGGGGTCATTGAAGGCAACTTCAGTTCCACTGAAAGTTATTGAACGTATTTTTTTTTAAAAAATAATCTTACAAAAATATTTTTTCGGATTGGTAATTTCCTTTATTATCATCATCATTATTTTTATTTAATTTTTTAAATTCTAATTAATAAAATTTCAATTAATTGTATTTATTTATTTTTTTAAAAAAAAATAGTTTTATTTATTTTACAAAATTAGGATTTATTGCACACAAAGAATAAATTCCCAAGTGTAACTTGTGTGTGTAGAAGGAGTCCCCACTCCAAACACAGCGCGTCCAATTAAATGAATGGACTACAAATACTGGCCAATGGGAGCAGAGATGGTCTACTATAAATTACGATGAGGAGACATCATCAGTCTGACCGGAGAGCTGCTGGGACGCTGCTGGTGGTTTGTAAGCTCCTCGGCCGGAACAATAGGGATCTTTGTATCAACCCCTGGTAGTAGTAGTAGTCCTCAAATCCGACAACAGGTAAGAATATTATTTAATTATGTCGAATTCCGTCACACAGGCGGGTTATCTTTAATTTGTAACGATTAAATCAAATCTGTGCGGTAGAGACAGAGTGTCTTGGCCTGATGAACATGTCCGCTTTCACTATGAGAATTTATGTAAACTGCTCAGTTAATAAATTAATTTAAACTGATGCGATGCATCACATTTTTAACAATGTGTGTGCTGCACATTTCTGCACCTGTATAAACGCGTTCAGGACACTCTGTCCGCTGCAGGAGATTTCATTGTTATCTGTAGTTCAGTCACTTGAGCGTAAATGTAACCTCCATAATAATGTCGGTTTGAGTGTTCGCTGCTTTTCACCGTGTCTTCCTCCATCCTCCGCCCAGGGATCAGCCATGCCTTTCGGTAACACACACAACCAGATGAAGATGAAGTACTCCTCGGAGCAGGAGTACCCGGACCTCAGCAAACACAACAATCATATGGCCAAGGTCCTGACTGCTGCTATGTACGAGCGGCTGAGGAGCAAACAGACACCCAGTGGATTTACTCTGGATGATGTCATTCAGACTGGGGTTGACAACCCAGGTAAAAACAAAAGCCGCTTTTCGGCGAAACAGCCATCTGTTCTGCCTCATCGACCGCGTCTAATGGCCGCAGCTCTGCGCTCCATGTTCCTGAGAGGGAACACTAACAGCTCTCTGCACTGTGACCTTGCCCAGGGATAAACTATGACCAGCATTTAGAGACATATGGAGAGTTGTATCAGTCAGAAAAGTCATCCTGCACTTAACAGGGCCTCCACTATCAGAGCATATTACACAGCTTTATGGGAAATGTTAAAGATTAGCAGTGTTACATAATGTATGCAGGGCAACTGATAATCCACTGCCGCTCTCCCTCTTTTATTATTATGTCACTCAGAGTGTGGTGTAGAGGTATTTAACTCAGCAGTGTTGAAAGCATTCAGATGAGCCTGGTCACTGCTGTGTAGCAGGCGACCGTCCCCTCACCCTGTAGACTGTGTCTCTGTTTAGCTGTGAGAGTATGGCCAAGCTGACGCTGAAGAGGCTGTCAGCTGAGGACGAGTTCCCAGATCTCAGTCAGCACAACAACCACATGGCCAAGGTCTTAACCCTGGACATGTACAAGAAGCTGAGAGAGCGGGCTACACCCAACGGCTTCACCATAGATGGTGTCATTCAGACAGGGGTTGATAATCCTGGTACAGTACCACAGTCCATCCTGAGACCTGATGATACTCAGCACATTGAGTTAGTGTGGATGTTAGTCAGTCTGGCCCTCTGCCCTCTGTCTCCTCTGTGACCCTGTTGACTTTGTGTGCAGGCCACCCCTTCATCATGACCGTGGGCTGCGTCGCCGGAGACGAGGAGTCCTATGAGGTCTTCAAAGAGCTGCTGGACCCCGTGATCGAGGACCGTCATGGAGGATACAAACCCACAGACAAGCACAAGACCGACCTCAACTCAGCCAACCTGAAGGTACTGCAGCCCTCTGCTCAGTCAACATGGCTGACTGTAACACTGCACACAGAAGCTAACCTGTGTGTGTGTGTGTGTGTGTGTGTGTGTGTGTGTGTGTGTGTGTGTGTGTGTGTGTGTGTGTGTGTGTGTGTGTGTGTGTGTGTGTGTCCTCTTTAGGGAGGTGATGACCTCGACCCCAACTACGTCCTGAGCTCCCGAGTCCGCACAGGCCGCAGCGTCCGTGGCTTCTGCCTGCCACCTCACTGCAGCCGAGGAGAGAGGCGTGCTGTGGAGAAGCTCTCCATCGAAGGTAAAGGGGACACATGAACCTGTGAGTTACTGACAGTGCAGGTGTGTGTGTCCATGCTGAGTGAGGCACACACACACACACACACACACACTCTCACTAAGTGCTCTGCACACAGATGGAGACATGAGTCTGTTGTGTAAACAGCATCAGAGCAGAAGGCTGTGGTCTGAACCTCAGTGATGCTCAGTGAAGTCAGCACGATGCTGGTTTGTCTTTGTGTGGCAGTGGGCTCCCTCTAGTGGCAGCAGGAGAGATAACACATTGTTTTACAGAGCACTCAGAGAAAGGTGAACTAGTGTTATATTATCTTCAACTTGTATCTCCCTCCCTGCAGCTCTGGCCGCCCTGAGCGGAGACCTGAAGGGGAAGTACTACGCCCTGAAGAACATGACGGAGGCTGAGCAGCAGCAGCTCATCGATGACCACTTCCTGTTTGACAAGCCAGTGTCTCCTCTGCTGCTGGCCTCAGGGATGGGCCGTGACTGGCCCGACGCCAGGGGCATCTGGTGAGACTCGTCATCACACAACCTTGTGCATTTCTTTTGGGAGATTTAATCCAGACAGAATGTTAATCTTGTGTTTTTTTTTTTTTTTTTGTCTGAAGGCACAATGACAACAAGACATTCCTCGTGTGGGTGAATGAGGAGGATCACCTGCGTGTGATCTCTATGCAGAAAGGCGGCAACATGAGGGAAGTCTTCACTCGCTTCTGCACCGGACTCACCAAGGTGAGCAGGAAATAGGAAGTTAATGTTTACATGAGCCAGACTCAGGTTTTGTTTGCTTCATATTGACTTGCACAATCTGCACAATGACCTAACATCCTGGTTCTTTTTGTAGATTGAGACCCTGTTCAAGGAGAGAGGCCATGCGTTCATGTGGAACGAGCACCTGGGCTACGTCCTCACCTGCCCATCTAACCTGGGCACCGGCCTGCGTGCTGGTGTTCACGTCAAACTGCCCAACATGAGCAAACACGCCAAGTTTGAGGAGGTTCTCAAGAAGCTGAGGCTCCAGAAACGTGGAACTGGTTTGTACAACTGTCATATTTCTCTAACGTTCTCCCACATTTGTATTTTGCCTCAATACTTTGGCCAGAAGTGGACTGAACTTCAGTCTTTTAATCAGTTTAAATCTATAAAATGTTTGTCTTGTCACCACCAGGTGGAGTGGACACAGCCGCTGTGGGTGGAGTGTTTGACATCTCCAACGCCGACAGACTGGGCTTCTCTGAGGTGGAGCTGGTGCAGATGGTGGTTGATGGCGTCAAGCTGCTGGTGGACATGGAGAAGAGGCTGGAGAAGGGCCAGTCCATCGACGACCTCATGCCCGCCCAGAAGTAAAATCACCCTGACGCCCTACGACCTTTCCCTCCCTCCCTTTTGTCTGAATGAATGTTTGACTCTGTCCTGAAACACTCTGTATCACACAGTTTGGATTTGCTTGTGTATTTAAGACGAAACGGTTCCTGCGAGGATGGAAATGAAATAAAAAAAAAAAAAAATATTCTGGTTCCAACAGCTTTGTGATCAATGAAGTGAGTTATAAACATTATCAAGGTGACATGAATCTCATCAGCCTGTTCTGACGCTGAGTCTAATGTGACCTGCAGAGCCTCTGAAACTCCAGTTAAACACCTTAACAACATTTCAGAAGTTTAAAATGTCTCATGACTCCTATCAGACATCAGCTGTCAGACATTTTGTCCCCAAACACACAGATGGACCTACAACGTCAGAGCCATTTGTCGGTCCATGAGCGCAGCATGTTGGCACAGGTGATGTTGGGTAATCTTCCTTGATAGAATGCTGCTAAGTGGCTTCAAATGTGTTAGAGAGGCTAAAGATGCTACAGGGTTGCATTATGGGAAATGTAGGCTGAAGTGTTTTATAGACTGAATGCATTTGTATTATCTGTCCCTTCAGTTTTCCAACCTTACGGAGGTACGTGTAAAAATATCTGCAGCGCTGCTTTCTTGCATGTTTATTCTGCAGCGTCACACTGTAGCAGAAGCATCTGAACACTTAATGAGCTGTCGCAAAATATTTAAGTTAAGGCTTCCTGTCCAGCTGTAGTGAGAGGACACACAGAAATGTCCAACAAAACTGTGGCGTTAAACAACTCCAGAAATACACAAGACCAAAAATCAGTGTCAGGCAGAGACACTGGGCTCTGAAACAAATCCAAAGGACTAAAACTAAAAGGACTCACACATCATGAAGAGCCAGAAAAACATGGTGTTTGGGACTTGTAGTCCTGAAGACATCTTTGTGTCCTGGTTACAATTAGGTTAAGTTTTTAGGGTGTCTGGATCGGTGGTTCTCAAATGATGTTCCATGATGCCAATCCAGGTGTGCCATGGGATTTTGTGATAACCACATATTGTTACTGATTATAAAGAATTTAATTTAAAAAACCCTCACAGGGAACCTTTTTGTCGTCGTTCGCGTGTGGGAATTTAAGTGTGTGACACATCCAAAGCCCTGATTGGATGCCAGTGTGAGGGATGATGACATTTAAAAGGAGAAAGCTGTGAGTGGGACGATGGATGGACAATTTAACCTCAACGAAAAGATGTCTTTTAAACTTTTAAGACTCTGTGGCACGAAACACACGTAATAAATACACCTGAGAATAGCTTTCCAAAAGAAAGAAACAACAATTTGTCTTGGGTCAGTATCCCAAAGTGTGAAGATGAAGAGTAACCACAACATTCAAGTCACATTCAGTCAGACGGTGTATTTCTACAGTGTTCAAGCGCTTTTTATTCCATCCATCAATTTTCATCCGCTTATTTGGGGCCGGGTCGTAGGGGCAGCAGGCCAAGCAAAGCACCCCAGACATCCCTCTCCCCAGCAACACTTTCCAGCTCCTCCTGGAGGACCCCAAGGTGTTCCCAGGCCAGATGAGATATGTAATCCCTCCAGTGTGTTCTGGGTCTGCTCCGGGGCCTCCTACCAGAGGGATGTACCTGGAACACCTCTAACAGGAGGCGCCCAGGAGGATCCTGATCAGATGCCAGACCACCTAAACTGACCCCTTTTGATGTGAAGGAGCAGCAGCTCTACTCCGAGCTCCCTCCGGATGTTTGAGCTCCTCCCCCTATCTCTAAGGCTGAGCCCAGACACCCCACAGAGGAAACTCATTTCAGCCGCTTGTATCTGTGATCTCGTTCTTTCAGTCACTACCCAGAGCTCATGACCATAGGTGAGGGTTGGGACGTAGATGGACCAGTAAATCAAAAGCTTCGCCTTTCAGCTCAGCTCCCTCTTCACCACGAAGAGGCCCGGCGCAGCACCTGCATCACTGCAGAAGCCGCACCAAACCGCAGATCCATCTCACGCTCCATTCTACCCTCACTCCTCAACAAGACCTCCACACAGAAGCATTCAAAATGAAGCAAACGCTTGTATTTTCTCATCTTGTCCGGACACAAAAGATCAGCGTGAGACGTTCAAGTTGACAGACACTTTAATTGAGACATGAGTGACCCTTAAACCATGTGAGCATTTACACGGACTCCCCATCATCTCTACTTTTTAACGAAATACAAAAGAAAAAAAAAAAAAAAGAGTATTGCAGTGAAGCTGTCTTTAAAGTAAAGTTACATTATTTACACTGAAAACAAAAACGCTACGTAATTTTTTTCTTTTTCCAGGAGAAAAAAAAAACAAAACAAAAAAGATGAAAATAAATAAGACTAGAAATGTTTCTTTTTTTGTCCACATTCACAGCATGACAAATCATATTCAACTCGTTAATGTCGACCCCGTGTGGCCAGAATAGACTGAGATATTAGTAGGTAATTCAGTGATTATTGCCAAAAGCCTTAATCTATACATTATAATATTCAATACATACTCTGTATTTTGTTTAAAAAAGGAGACATTTGGAAACTGCTACTTGGATGATTGTACAGCTTAAATACTTCTAGATATATATATGTATACTTTTAAACCCTTTTGTTCATAGCTTTAACTCGTTGGCAACTTTGGAAGCAATGTTTTTGAAAGCGATGGATGATCCGGATATCCGTTTGAACCTGACGCCGTTGAGAGAGAGACGGGGCAGCTTGCAAACCTCCATCTCCCACTGGACCAGGTTCTCGGCTCGCCCGTCCCCGTGGACGCAAAGAAGCAGGAAACTCTCTTGCTGTTCGTAGTCGCAGTTGTTGGCATCGAGCACCTTGCGAATCTCCCGCATGATATCACAAGGCTCCATGGAGCTGGTGGTCCTCATACTCCAAGTGAATCTGAGGGAGCGGGGTTTACTGTCTTTATTTTCCCCTTTTTGATCCCCAGGTACATGGCGACTGTCGGGAGAAACAGAAACACACACACAAGCTTTAGTGTCGCAGATTTGAGATTTCATCACAAGCTGGGTTTAAAAAAGATTCAACAGCTGCTTTGACTGTTTGACAGAAGACAGTTTTATTCTTTAACAGATCAAAAACACAGTTTCTTATCAGTTAAAGCAGCCGGTCAAAATTTAAAGGAATAGTTCGAAGTTTTATTTGCTTTCTTGCCAAGAGTTAGATGAGAAGATTTATACCACTCTGATGTCTGTGCAGTAAATACGAAGCTACAGCCAGCAGATGGTTATCTTAGCTTAGCTTAGCTTAGCACAGACACTGGAAATCAGGAAACAGCTCGTCTGGCTCCATCCAAAGGTAACATGTTGTATCTTGTGTGTAAAAATGACACATTATATGGACCAATTTTCCCATGCTTTTTAGGAACAACCATTTTTTAAACTGGTCCAGTATTGAGTGAGAGCGCTGCAGACGGCAGCTGCAGAACAGGCTGCCATGTAACCATCTGGGGCATTTGTGCAGCAATTTACGTCGATTTAAAAGTGTTTCTTTTTGTCACTGACAGGATCAGATTGTTATTCAAAGTGTCTGACGCCATCATGGAAAGGATCCCTACATAGATAGACTTTTTTAATTAACCAGAAACAGCCCAAAATCTCCATCGCCAAACCCACCAGACTCCATTTAAACAACAGTAATTTTATAACTGTGTAAAGACACTTCCTTTAAAGTCGACAGAAACAAAATAAAACTCACAAAACACACCTTGGTTCATTTTTCCACGGTTTCAACAACGACCAACTCTGATGTGGTTGAAATGAACTCTTAATTCACCCAGTTAGATGTGAAAATATGCTGAATCTATACATGCTTAAATTACTGTTTATTTAAATGGAGTCTGGTGGGTTTGCTGATGGTGTTTTCAGGGCTGTTTCTGGTTAAACAAAAGACTCGTACTTTTAAACAAGGGATCCTTTCCATGATGTCGTCAGACACTTGCAGCATTTTCATATCAAATACGACTGATCTGGGTCTGTCAGCTGCAGGTTGTGCTGCCCTCTGAGACAGAGGCATCAGTATTAAATTTAGACTGTTTCATAACTGGTTAAAAGTAAAAAATTAACAGTCCACTTCTGTGTTTTGGTACAGTTGGTGTTCACACCTGATGCGTACTGTACTGGAGACAAACTGTACTCAGGTGGAATCGGGCATGGTGCACAGTGTACACATTAATCAAACAACCTGGACTTCAATAATCTGAGTCTGTCAGTGGCAAAAATGGACTGAAACTGACGACACAATGCCCCGAGCGGTTACAGTGCAGCCTGTTTCCGCGCTGCTGGACCATTGTTTTTCCAAAAGTACCAAACTTCCCCTTTAAGATTTTTCTGAACAATTCTTGGCCGTGCTTCTTCATCTAACTCTCAGCATGAAAGCAAGTTTCCCAAAATACCTAAAACTATTTCTTTACACATTATTTAGCTTGCGGTTGGTGTTTGTTTCCACCAGGACACATTCACTAGCCCCGAGTTTAAGCCTCTCACATACAGCGTCATCATTACATTCAAGTCACAGAGCTCAGCATTTGTTTTCCTGGGAAACAAAAAACAGCTGTTTTAAAACCCAAGAAGGTCGTACAGCTTTTCTAAAGTAATTTTCAGATCTCTAAAAAGATTCTTTTAACCATCTGGTAAAAAATATTCAGTAACTGTGACTGGTTTCTTTTGGGGGACAATGTCACATTCTTCTTCAATTTGTGCAACATGGACCAAATTAAAACAATAGATTATGAATTAAATCTGTCTATGTTGATGCTACTATACATTAGTTTCATTTATCTTCTTTTTATTGGCAATTCTTTGCCAAAATTCATGCCAAAACCTGGGACGTTACAGTAACAAGGTACACTTTAAACCATTTTGCCACAATTCTTCCTTAAATTCATTTATTTAATTCATACACATTATTATTTCCTTGTCTGTACGCCACAAGAAAGATAAAAAGTGGGCAAAGAAATATTTAACTGTCAGG